TGTGTGTGTGTGTGTGTGTGTGTGTGTGTGTGTGTGTGTGTGTGTGTGTGTGTGGTTTAAAAAAAATAACCAATAAAAAGTACCAAAAGGTAAATCACTTACAGCTCATATATGCTGCAGAATACTGCAGGCTTCATAGGATCTCCAACAGAATTATGCAATTTTACAACTCTTCAAAGCTGCAAGAACAGACAGTACTATATAGGCATAACACAGTAGGGTGGAGGTTACAGTAATAATATAGGAGACCTATGTGAATAGGGAGGGGAGGGAAGGACCCAGGAGGGAAAAGGTGGAGGAGTTAGGTGGAATGGAAGTCTGACATTCTTTGAGCAGTCTGAATGGTTTTTATTCAAATGTATCTAGAAAGAGGGCCCAAAACTTCTTTGACTGCATTTAATTGATCTCTAAAGTGATAATCTATTCTTTCATTGGCTGTTAACTCAGAAAGAAGTTGTTCCAATAAAAGACGTTCTCACCCACTTTGTCTCTCTCATATCCTGGGACAAACATGGCTACAACAACACTAAAAACAACTCAGGTCTGAATACGTGACTGCTCTATTTTTGGCATAAGCTTACTCTTCTATTTTGTTTAAAAAAATCTCTTGTTTTTGAACATTTGAGGCTGGCAGTACTGTATATGATATAACCAGGTATAATTTTTCAGTGCCCCCTGCCCTCCAAACATACAACGTTAGGGCTTGCATGCACATGTCCATGACGTTTCCAAGCTGCTCTTTGGTTTCCTTTGTGCTACGTGGATGTCTCCCACACAGCTCTGTATAGAAACCAAGCTGGCTAGAGGTTTGGCTCTGTTTACACATGCTGGTCAATGATTATTTCTGGCTGTATGTTATTGCTAATCCTTGCAGAAACATTTCCGATTTTTGAAATTTCAATTAAATATTTTCATGAAAAAATGTCAGGTTTTTCTAATGATTCTATTCCTTTTGTAATAACTTCCTTCTTCCTATGCCCCAGGGTCGATCTGGCATGTTCCATCTAATATCATTACAGGAGGTCACATATCACCTTTGTGAGGATAAACTGTTGCAGGGAAGACTCCACAGTGAGCTCCATAGATCAGAGCCGTCTCTTGCTGAAGTCAATAACAAAATTCCTGTTAACTCAAGGGGCCCAATTCTGCTCCCCAGGGAGTAGAAACCTGTGGCATTTCTGCCTGATTCTTTCCTTGCTGGGAGAGTGATTTAGGGTAATCCACAGCCTTGCAGGGCAGCAGAGCTGCTCTGAACTCAGGCTGGATCCTGCGCCATCACCATGGGCTGACCTCCCCTTCATCCAGCTGTCCTGCCTCCCTGTCTTGGCGCTGCCATCAGCTTCCCCCTACCAAGCCTGTGCCTTACGTTCCTGAAAGGAAGATAGGAGACTTTGAGGGGGAGTTGTTGCTGCACCCCCACTCTGGTAGATTTCTTGGTAGCTACTGATCAGCTAGGGATGCATGACACAAAATGTAGCTGCTCTGCCCCTCCAACCTTCATTTCTGCTCAACACCCATTGTCTAATCGCCACATGCTCTCTTCCTTTTGCCTGCTTGGGTTTCTTCTACAGCACCTAGCATGGGATCCATTTGATCATATACTTTTATGAATCAAAAGGTAAAGACAGTTGCCACATTTCCCAAGAAGCAGTTTCCTGAATGGCCTTGATCCCTGGGCTGCCTTATAAGAGACCAGTTTGCTCTTTCAAAGGGGAACGAATCACATTTTCTATTTTACCTAAAAGTCATGGCAGTTACAGATGATAATTGCCATGCTGAATGATTGTGCTGAGATCATTGCAGGTGATCTTGAAACTGAAGCACAGGGATGGGGGATCCAGATTCTGCTCCCAGCTCTGCAATACACATCCTGTGTGACTTTGGGCAGGTCACTTCAGCTCTCTGGGTTCCTATTTCCCCAACTGTGAAGTGAGGAAACTAATACCAACCTCACAGTAGAGCCAAAAGGAGCTACAGCATAGCAAAACGTGGTTTGTTACATTATTAAACTGTATCACAATAGTGTCTAGAAGCCCCAGCTGCAGTCGGGGCTCCATTGTGCTAAGTGCTGAATAAAGATGTAATAAGAGAGTCCCTGTCCAAAGAACTTACCCGCTAAATGGACACAGGGTGGGAGGGGAAACAGATGAAATGATTTACCCAAGTGGCAGAGCCAGGAATAGAAGCCATGTCTCTAGAGGCCCACTCTAGTGCCCACTCCACTGGACCACACTGCAGAGCTAAGAAGCTTTACATTTAATTTATTTTTTTAATACTTCCTATTGCAGATTAGACAAATCAGAGCCTGTGTTTAAGAAAATTGCCTATCGAGAGTATGAAGCAGATTTTCAGACAGCAAAACCAAGAGATACTTTCTCAGGTAAGCAGAAAATAACTTTCAAAGCCAGTTTCTTCTACGTGCAGGAAAATGTGCCTGTATTTGTATACCCATCACTAGCATGTACTGCAAGCCAAGCAAATAGAGAATTCTCTATAGCACAGGAGCCAAAAGCCCAATCCTTAAAAATATTGTCCTCTGTTATCCGTATTGATTAAATTGGAGAGGGTTCAAAGAAGAGCCACAAGAATGACTACAGGGTTAGAAAACATGCTGTAGAGTGATTGAGTTCTCAGAGTCTGTCTATTTAGCGTAACAACGAGAAGGTTAAGTAAGGGGTCACTTAATTACAGTTTATAAATATCTTCATAGGGTACAAATATTTAATAATGGGCTCTTCAGTCTAGCAGAGAAAGCTATAATAGGATCCAATGGTTGGAAGTTGCAGCTAGACAAATTCAGACTGGAAATAAGGTGTACGTTTTTGACAGTGAGAGTAATTAGCCATTGGAACAATTTACCAAAGGTTGTGCTGGGTTCTCCATCACTGGCCATTTTTAAATCAAGATTGTGTGCTTTCTGAAAGATCTGCTCTAGGAATTATTTTGGAGAAGTTCTATGGCCTGTGTTGTACAGGAGGTGAGACTAGATCAGCGGTCCTTAAACTGGGTTGGGACCCCAAAGTGGGTGATGACCCTGTTGTAATGGGGTCGCCATGGGCCGACATTAGCCTTGCTGGGGCCCAGGACCGAAGCTCAAGGGCTAGCATGGGAATGCCTTGCCGAGCTGCAACTGCATATCCCACTGCAGTGGAGACAAACCTTGTGTTGTAAAGGCTGTTGCTCTGGATATCACATTAAACACTCCCTAAGACTTCGGTCTGCTTTCCTAAAACTATGCTAGTACTGGTGACTAATTTGTAAGGGGAGAAAACCCTTCCCCAACCTTTAAGCTGTCTGTTCACTAAACTTTCCATAGCCAGGAAACAGCCTTCTCGCTTCATGTGCAGAATTTTCCTATGAATTTCAGTGTCCTTTGCTGAATATATAATTCACGGCCTTATTTACATTGGGCCACATCTGTTAGATTCTTGAGGGCCTTTCTACCCTCCAGGTATTTCACAGCTAAATCACTGGATAGGATTAATCCTCATTGCACTGGCATTAAATCCTCTGATTTATTTTGTGCCACTTGTCCTTTAACAGGAGTTCACTCTCCCACTCAGGAGAAGGTGACTTTCCCTTTCAATAAGATGCACCATTTGATGCTCATTATCGCTTTTTATTTTTAATACTGAATTTCTGCAGGACTTCTGGGACCAACTCTGCGGGCTGAAGTGGGAGACACTTTAGTAGTTCACTTTAAGAACATGGCCAACAAACCGCTGAGCATTCACCCACAGGGCATTGCTTACAACAAACTGTCGGAAGGTATGTGCTGTAAAATGCCATCTGTTCTTTTTTTCTACTCAAGACTATATAATCTTAGATCGAGAAGGGCCTAAAACCAAGTCCTGGGTATGGACACCATCAACCTTTTGATCTTTGGATCTGAATCTACATTTTGTGGCCCAACTTCCTCTATTATTACATCAACCATGTGACAGCCCTGTTGTCTGAGATGTGTATACTGCTGAATGACTCTTCACTTGTGCTGGTGACATAGCTGTTTTGCCCAAAGCTGAGGACCTGGAGAACAAAAGTAACTGGTCAGTTAAAATACCCACCCTGAAGAAAGGGAGGAGAGAAGTTGTCGCTGCTGCAGGCTGACACAAACTGACTGGCCTGGTCTACACCTAAAATTTAGATCGAGCTAGCTACCTCGCTCAGGGCTGTGAAAAATTTCACACTCTGTACAAACAGTTAGATCAACCTAATCCCCGCTGTAGATGCAGCTAGGGCAATGGAAGAATTAATCCGTCGACCTAGTTACTGCCTCTCAGAAGGGTGGACTAACAATCTTAATGGAAATCCCCTCGTGTCAATAAGGAAGCGTTACACTTCAGCAGTACCGCAGCAGCACCACAGCTGTGCTGCTCCAATGCAGATGTATCCAGAAGAGAGTCAGGGGCAGCAAGCAGGATGTAATTTGGTCCCCAAGAAAACATGGGCTCCAAGGCTACCTAGGGGCTTGAGGGGAATGCCTAGTGTAGGTAAGACAGTATGTGTATAGGTCTCTTATTTTCAATCCATCTCTGAGTGCTGTGCACCTTTTGGCAAACAAATCATACTTTTGTTTTGAAGAGGCTGCTTCTGTGTCACTGCGTACCACCACTGATCACAGGCTCCCAAGGAGAAACTCTTGCAGGTGCCACGCCATTGGGCTTGCTAGATATCATGGTTGGCAATCAGGGAGGTGTGATCCAGAGACCAAATCGAGGAGTGGTTGGATCAGGGGATCTCACCCCAAAAAGAAATGGAGACACAGCCCTGTCACTTGAAAGAGATGCAGTCGGGGGACAGGAACAGGGTCTCAGAAGGGGTGGTCTACCCAGGGACTATGACATAAAGGGTACTTGGTATCTCCCAGTAGGTGCTCAGCTTCTTGCAAGATCTGGCCTCTGGCTGTCAGCTCTTAGAGGCGTGGTACTAATATATCCTGCTGGTTTCCTAGAATGCCATAGAGACCAAATCAAACTTGAGTAAAGCTATCAGTTTAAGACACTGCCACTCTATCCTGCCAAATGATTTACCGACATCCATTAATAAAATTAAGGATGGAATCCAATTTGATGTTAACTTCTTCTAACTGGCACTCAATCAGCTTGATTGCATAGAGCTGAAAATGCAACAAGGGGGTAGAAAATAGAGTGGTGAGGGAGGAAATGCTCAGAAAATCCCCCTAAGACTGATGTTATGTGACCTTTGAATCCAGTCTGTGGCTGTTTGTGCACTAAATGAACTGCACGACATTGTCCTGCCTCCTCACATGCTGTTTACTCCAGATACCTACAGTGTTTTCAGAAAGCACCGTATCCTAAAGATTGGGAACTATCCTCCCATACAGTAAATGTTTAAATGTATGTGTTAAAGAAAATGTATTGGTATTCTTTCAGTTCCAAGGCTTTAGAGTTCAAGGCATTTGCCACCATTGGTAATGGGTTATTTATTACTTAATATGTGCCCAATTTGCATTTTGTGTCTCATTTTCACCAGTGCAAAGTGAATGTAAAGCACTTCCACATCAGAATGGTAGCATTTTACACTCCCTATGCACTGGTGTCAATGACTTCAAGTGGGCTGTCAGCTTGCAAATATTTAATTGCATTAGGGTTGATGTCAGAGGTGGTTGAAATGTTTTGAATCTCTAAACAATATCTGGAAAAATGTTCTCCCTTTTCAGCAGCTCTCAAGGCGGTTGGGATTTTTTCCAGATTTTAAAATTTGTTGAAATTTCAAATTGTGTGAATACATTTTTTGCAAAAACGTCCAAGATTCCTCCCCCACACACACACACCAGTTCTAGATCATCTTGTTCTTTGCTATTAATCAGTTTGTCAGGAGAGCTCGCTGAGGTTTTGTTTAATGCCTTGTTCATATTATGGGCCCAAGAGGAGTTTTGCTCTCAGCTGAGTGGGAGCAGAGCCGAGCCCTGTGTTGAGGAACTATCACATGTCACTGAAAATCTCCAGTTCCGTTTGATGATGGTTCAGGTTGATATTTCACTGATTTCTGATCGTATTTGCAGCTAGAATTTTGATAACCTCCATGAAGCCTTCTTGTTAAGTCAAAATTTTTATCGGCTGTAGATAATGCAAACAAATTAAATACATAAATGCAATGTTATCACCATTCAGATTTGTAATGTGCAAAAGTCATAAGGCTGCAGTAGCTCCTACTGGGCCAGTGTTATGGAGGGAGGCTGGACCAGGATCAGTGGAGAGCTGGCGAATTGGGCAGCTAGTACCTTCTAGATCGCTCCTGAATCCAACCATGGAGAAGCTGAACAGTTGTACTATGCTCCCCCACCACATCAGCCTGGGTAAATGAAACCGAGTACTGGTCTTGATTCTGCTCTCAGGGACACCAGTGAGGATCGGGAGCAATGATAGTAAAAACCCTGTGCATACGTTCATCAACCTCTCCCTCAATGCCACCTCTACCTCCCTCTCTCGACTTCTACCTACGCAGGTTCCCTGTACGCTGACAGAACATCTTCTTTTGAAAAACTGGATGATGCTGTGCTTCCAGGCCTGGTGTATAAATACACGTGGGAGATCACTGCAGAAATTGGGCCTAAAGAAGCCGACCCACCCTGTCTCACCTATATCTATTACTCACATGAGAACATGGTGATGGACTTTAACTCCGGTCTGATTGGAGCATTGCTTATATGTAAAAAAGGTAACCAAAATGCTTTGGGTAGACAAAAGCTATAAAATGTCAGCTGGTCTACTCTTTCAGTGGCCTCGCACATTCTGATAGTGTTGTTTTCTGTTATGGTAACGATAAAAACTAAAAAACATAAAAATCAAGTTTGAAGATTGTATCATAATGTGAGAAGGCATTTCATTTTCCTCTTTCCTTCTCGTGTTTCTGTGCAGGCAGTTTAGAGGAAATTGATTTTTGTTTCCTGTGTCTTTATTTTAAGCCTTAGGGTTACAGTGTTCTGGACTAGCTGTAATGCACACTAGTTTCTTGAATAATTCTATTGTAGGCAGGGCTGGTAACACCACCTTATATTAAAGTTGCCTGACACTTCCCATTTTGAGACCCCCAGCTTCAATTGCTTATAACATTGTCAAACTTCAACTGTTCAGGCTGGAATTTACCATTCCAGGTGTCTGCCTCAGATTGAATTCTTTTGGAAAGTTGTAGCCAAAGTTGTTTAACTGTTTCCAAGAACAAGGCTAGGAAAAAACACTTTGTTTTGCCATATTAAAAATGCTCCCTGTCCTGATGATGTAGCTGATGTGATTGTGTATATGAGTATTTTGGAAATATTTATTTTCTTTCCTTGTGTCAAGCTTCTCTAAATTCATTGATATCTGTCTTAGTCCTGTGTTCAGTGCTTAATGTCTGCCAGAACTGAGCCCCGGCACCTCTGGGCTGAGCAGTTCACAGCCCCGGCACCTCTGGGCTGAGCAGTTCATAGCCCCGGCACCTCTGGGCTTGCCACATCAGTTATAAAAGTAACAAAATTGCTTGAGCCCCAGCACCTCTTTTGTTACAAATTAAGCACTGCCTGGGCGACACAAGTCAATTAATAAACTAGCAATCTATTAAAACCAAGTTTGCATTTCTGACATCTCTAATCTCACGGATGAAACAATGAGATGACACTAGGTTTGGGTGGGATGGCAATACATATGTGTATAAAAATAAATGCATCTCACCTCTAGGTCACCAGTCCTATTCTCTTCTATTTAGGTTCTTATAATACTCATCACTGCAGTATCTGCCCATGGCAGTGATGACCAAAAATCCTTACCATGTGAAGGCTGCTTGCTTGTCTGTGTGAAATGATTTGGGGGTCTCAGTCCAGTACCAAGGGGGCAGCTGTCCACATTGGCAGAAACTCAACTATACCTGGTATTAATCTGGTAGTCCCAGAAGAGAAGCCAAGGACTGAATAGGACCTCAAGATGGATCTCCTCTCTCGCGGTCAGAGATAGTCCCTGTGGCACATTACTGGAGTAGTTTAGAGGGAGCATGTACTGATGCTCCCTGTGCTGAACCTGTTCTGTGGATGCTAGAGGCCCTCAGTCTCCAAAGCTGCCAGTCCAGCACCTTTCCCCAGAACTAAATTCACCTCAAACACATTTTGAAAAAACGTCCTATGTGGCCAGGTGCTGCTCACACGTGCGGCAAGCTCATGGAATAGATCTGGATGCCTTTTAGTTGATGTGAGCTGTTTTTATTTTTGCCTTCATCTGATACCTCTTGTTTCCTCCCACAGGAAGCCTGAAGGAAGATGGGACACAGAAGCTGTTTGACAGAGAATATGTGTTGATGTTTGCTGTGTTCGATGAAAGCAAAAGCTGGCAAAAATCAACCTCTCTCCTGTACACGATTAATGGTTACGCTAATGGGACATTGCCAGGTACTGTACGTACTCATGGCGTCCAGCCAGAGTCCACAAACTGTGTATTACTCCTCACTGCAGCATACCCTAGTCAGCTGCAGAAAGCAAACAGAAGAAGTAGCTTGGCACAGCCTCGTGTGTGACCGTACGATGAGCATCTGGTTCCACAAGGGAGCATGTGTGCACTCCCAACCACCACCGCTTTCCCCTGCAGTCTGACCTTGGTGCCGAGAGCACATGGCTCCCAAGAGCGTTGCAGTTCGTGCAGAGAGAGAATTAAATCTCTTCTTGCCACCTGCTGGATAAGGAGTGAGGTTTTTCAAAAGCACTTAAGTGAGTTAGGCACCCAACTCCCATTGCCTTTCAATGGGATTTAGACTCCTAATCCACTTAAGTACTTTTGAAAATCCCACCCATGGCCTATACAGTATCCATCCTAGACATGGCCATCAAGATATCAGAGACTTTATTGAAAGTGCAGAGGGGTATTCACTTTTGACCTACCAGTGGGAATTAATTAAACATTCTGTAATTCTGGGATGATTCACCTGTATTCTGAACCCTGCTGTTCTGTTTCAGACCTAGGAGCTTGCACATACGATAACATTAGCTGGCATTTGATAGGAATGAGTTCCAAGCCAGAGATTTTCTCCATCCATTTCAATGGGCAAGTCCTGGAACAAAATCGTTGCAAGGTCTCGACTGTCAACCTTGTGGGAGGTGCATCGACCACAGCAAACATGACTGTGAGCCAGAAAGGAAGGTGGCTGATATCTTCTCTTGTCCAGAAGCATCTGCAAGGCAAGGGAACATCTTGTTCAGAAGGCAGTTGTGCAGTTACAGAGAGTGTCATTCTTGTCTCTTCCTCCTTATCTCCAAAAGTGCTGCTAACTTTGTCAAAAACGGTGGCTAACGCATTTGGGATCATCCTAGGAAATCAGTGGAAACAGGGCATTTTGTTTGAATTAGGGTCGCAAGATGTGGCTCAAGTATCAAAGGGGTAGCCGTGTTAGTCTGGATCTGTAAAAGCAGCAAAGAGTCCCGTGGCACCTTATTAGACTAACAGACGTATAGGAGCATGAGCTTTCATGGATGAATACCCACTTTTTCGGATGCATGTAGTGGACATGCATCCGAAGAAGTGGGTATTCACCCACGAAAGCTCATGGTCCTATACGTCTGTTAGTTTATAAGATGCCACAGGACTCTTTGCTGCTTTTAAAGATGGGGTTCATTAGGACTACTGCTGCAAAGGGGCTACAGGGCAACAATGAATCTAACTCTTAGCTTTTAACTCTTTGGGAGGTGCTCAGATGAGCCTCATTATAAAAAAACCTCGAGATTGACCAGCTTTTTCAGGAGAAACAGAAAACTTTTGCAGTTCAGTGAGCAAAAAATCTTTTCTGCTCATCTTTAACATGGATGTTAGTTTCCCCCTAGAGTGAAGAGATCTCTGTTGTAATAGATCAGTGGATTCCCTCTTGTAAAGGTTGGAGGGCTCATTTAACAGAAAAGGGGAAGTTCTTGCTGTCAGTTAGGCTGGTATTTTCAAAGGAGGCTATGCGAGTTAGTTGCTGAGCTCTCATTGACTCCCACAAGCCCCTTTGAAAATACCACCCTTAATGCCTGCACTCTTCTTTTCTTTTCTTCTTCTTTTTAAACCGGAATAGACTCAGGTCAATCAGTGAATGTTTTCATGCATCCTGAGCTGATGGGCTGTAGGAATGCACTGTTCATAGGAATAACAGTAACCATTGTACTGTCTCTATTCAACCAGCTGGAATGCACGGTTACCTCAACATAGAAGAACATGCCGGGAAAGACGTGTTCAATAAGATATTCTCCTTTAAGGAACGGCGTATGATTAAGGACTGGGAATATTTCATTGCTGCGGAAGAAATCACCTGGGATTATGCTCCAGAAATTCCAGAGACCATTGATAGGTAAAATGGTGAACTGTACCCTGTTGATGAAATGTTAACTTGGGGTGGCTTAGAAAATGCGCTATATAATGTAAAGTCTTAGCCCTTAAGAACTTCTTCTGCATATTTTTCACAGGAACTCAATCTTGTAGAACAGGAGGAATATTAGAGGCAGGGTTGCATGGTATTTATGGAATGCACTATCTAGAAGTCCTAGTGCGTGGCTTCTGAAGGGCTCTACCAGGCTGAATAAGTGAATGTGTCAGGCTCTGGGTTTTAAGTGGTCAAGCCTGGTGGTTGGAGCAGTAGTTGAAGCTGGACATAGAGTCGGGACAGGGCAGTGCTCAAACTAAGGTCCGGGGACAGGCAGTGTGTTAGAACCAAGGTCAGAGTCCATAGATGAGCTCAGTCAGGATCACAGTCAGATACCAGAAGCAGGCCAAAGGTTGAAGCCAGGTTGGAGTCAGGCGAAGGGGGTCAGGAGGTGGGTACAGGGTTAGAGCGGGTCAGGAACATGTCTGGAGCAGAGTCAGAATAGGGCACAGAGAAGACTGGATCAGGCTGGAACAAATCCCGGGCAAGGCTGGAGCCGGAACAGGGACAGGATCAAGGGCAGGCTGGAAGCCTAGGGAGTCTGACACCACGAGGCAGCAGGAGATTTCCTAGGCAAGTGGTGCTGTTGCGCAGACTAAGATCCATGTCTATGCGACAAAATTATGTTGACCTAAGTTACATCAGCGTACAGCTGCTGCAGTAATTACATTGTTTTTATGTGTCATCACTACGCTCATTTTGTCGGCGGTGCGTGTTCTCACTAGCAGCGCTTGTATCGATGCAAAACGAGTCACGCAGGGGTGATTAGGAACACGATTTCAACGTCCCATAATGCAGTGTTCTCCAGCCCATAATTTCATCTGCATCCCATAATGTTGTGTGCCTCTTTTCAAAATCCCCACAAACCTGTGCATCCCTCCTCGCTGTCCACTATCTGTGTCAGAAGCATGGATCCTGCACAGCTCTGCACTGTTGTGACGAGTGTTGTGAGAATGGCATGCCTGATCCTGCAGTATTTGCAGAGCCGCCAGAGGAGCTGCAGGGAACATGACAATTTCTTGGAGGCTAGATTGCTCTGGGACATAGAAAGAAACAATTCAAAGTTGTTGATGGCATTGATGATGGAGCTGGAGGTGGGCCGGAGAAAGAAGCACTGATGGGTGGGATCACATCAGGTTTGGGAAGATGAGCAGTGATTGCAGAACTTTCGGATGTTCTTGGATCTTTGTGCCGAACTCACCCCGACCCTCCTGCGCAGCAACACCAAAATGAGATCTGCACTGACAGTGGAGAAGTGAGTGGTAATTGCACTGTGGAAACTTGCAATGTCTGACTGCTACCAATCAGTCAGGACTCAGTTTGGAGTTGGAAAATCCACCAAGTTGCCAAAAATAGACGTTTATTCCATACCCAGGCAAATAGAGAAAAAATTATAATTGAATAAAACTGAAATAAAGGGAAAAGAACTTTTGGAGGGGAAAGAACAGTCATTTCCATTTCAGAAACACATACACTGATCTGTGAGAGACCCGGTTGGTGTATGTGCAGCTGTGATTCTCCAGGGTGGTGTGGAAGGATAAGTGCAGTGGCTCCAGAGGTCCCAGAATGCAGTTCTCTATGGGCTGCAGAAGGAGGCGAGCACAAGATGGTTGAACCTGAAGGTCAACAAGAGTCTGCAGCATGTCTGTTTGCTGCTTGAGAAGCACTAGCATCTCCTGCTGCACGTCTGTCCTTTTCCTGCACCTTTCTCCTCTCTGCTCTATTCCTGGGCTGCTGTCCGCGAGGGTGAACATCCAAGCCCCGGGCTTGGTATCTAGAGCAGCAGAGGTTTGCAGGATCTCTTGGAACATTCCATCCCTCATCTTCCTTCTCCTTCTTATCTGGCTGAGCTGCTCCACTGCTGTGGATAGAGAGACCCCCCAAGGCTAGGGTTACCATACGTCCGGTTTTTCCCGGACATGTCCGGCTTTTCGGCAATCAAACCCCCATCCGGGGGGAATTGCCAAAAAGCCGAACATGTCCGGGAAAAATACCGGCCAGGCACTTCCCCTCCCGCGGCTGCTCTGCTCCTCCCTGGACTCAGACTTCGGCTCTGTTTAAGAGCCGGGCTGCCCCAGCGCTACCGGCTTCGGGCAGCCCCCATGCCTCCGGACCCTGCGCCCCCGGCCGGGCACTTCCCCTCCCACAGCTGCTCTGCTCCTCCCTGGACTCAGACTTCGGCTCTGTTTAAGAGCCGGGCTGCCCGAGCGCTCCGTCTTCGGCAGCCCCCTTGCCT